CCAATCGACAACAACGGATCGTGCCATGATGATAAACCGATGCTTTCCATTCAAGGATGCCATGTCTAAGTCTCAGTACGCGGGGAGATTGCGAAGAGAGTCTTCACCACCAGCATTTCGATTAGAGATCCGCCAGCAGCCAGGAGAGGATGACCAACATATTTCAGAGTTTCGTTTTGAAATCAGGTCTTATCAGTAGAACACTTCAGAAAAGTGTCCATTTTTCAGTCAGTAGTAATCTACAATTCACTTAATTGTGAATTGATGCCTCTTCAGTTCAGATCAAGTTTCTTATTCAGTATTAAATTACCGGATTTTCAAGTTATGTAATCAGTAAGTATAAGCTTTAAGTTAAGCTTGTACATTCCAGTTTTTACTGTTTCCGAGGAGCTCAAGAGGAGGTTAACTTCAGCACCGGTGTTGACTATTCCCGATCGTTCTCGGAGTTTCACTATCTTTAGCGATGCTTCGAGACAGGGCCTGGGATGTGTCCTTACGTAGGACGGACAGGTCGTTGCGTATGCTTCACGTCAGTTTAAGCCTCATGAGTAGAACTATCCTACGCACGACTTAGAGTTAGCCGCAGTCGTTCACGCCCTGAAGATTTGGCGTCACTATCTTTACGACGGACGCTGCGAGATATTCACTGACCATAAGAGCCTACAGTACATCTTCACGCAGAAGGAGCTTAATATGAGGCAGCGCCGTTGGCTCGAATTGGTCAAGGATTATGATTGTTCTATCCAGTACCATCCGGGGAGGCGAACGTCGTCGCAGATGCCCTAAGCCAAAAGGTGACGGGAGACTTGACGTACGTCATCACGCAGCAGAGTCCATTGATTCACGAGTTTGCCCGGATGCAACTTCAGGCGATTGACGCACTCCCCACAGCTGTCTCGGGGAGCACTAATACCAGTATCAGTGCTATGCAGCTTCAGCCGACACTGAGGGAGAGGATCCGGCGAGAGCAGGCTTCTGACGAGTTTGTGCGTGTCATGGAGGCCAAGGTTCGCGCCGGAGGAGTACAGGATTTTCAGCTAGGCGCCGATGGTGCCTTGGAGTTCAGAGGCAGGATCGTGGTCCCGAAGGCCGAGGCATTGCGGAAGGAGATTCTATCAGAGGCACATACCGCACCTTACTTGGCCCATCCCGGGAGCACGAAGATGTACCACGACCTAAAAGGGTCGTTTTTTTGGAGAGGCATGAAGAAGAACGTCGCTGAGTTCGTCAGGCGGTGTCTTACCTGTCAGCAAGTCAAGGCCGAGCATCAGAGTCCAATTGGCCTCCTACAGCCACTGCCGATTCCGAGGTGGAAGTGGGAGGAAGTTACTATGGATTTCGTGACGGGACTGCCGAGGTCGTCTGAACATCACGACGCTATATGGGTCGTGGTCGATAGATTGACCA